AGCGTTTTCTATTCCCTGGCGTGATGGGGGGCTTATATTCTCCGCGATCTCAGATGAAAAGGGCCAGCTGAATCGGGGTCGGGTCAGATCTGTCGATCGGCCCACGTGAAAGGCGCGTCTTCGAGCTGATCGGCTCGAGGAGTCTCCCGCGGCGCCCCACTCTGCCCCCTCGCGCAGCGAAGCGGGCCCGCCATGTCTGCTCTGGTCACTGCGCCTGAGACGGTGGTCGCACGCGGCAGCGTGCGTCGGCCTCTTTTTTTGCTTGCCTGTTCTCTCTGTCTCTCTCTCTCTCTCTCTCTTCCTGTTTCTCTATGTGTATATAGAATGTATATAAATACCGCCCCCCCCCGGCCCCGGGTCCCACACATCCCCGCCACATCTCGGGAACGTTCCCGGTACCGCTCCCCCCGAATCTCCGGGGAGCCTCCACAGCGCCCCAGGAGGGTCCAAGACGCCTCCCAGGAGCCCCCAGAATGCAAAAGGATTGTCCAAGAAGCTCCCAAGCAGCCCAAGTCAGCCTTCCGACGGCTCTCGAGGCTCCCAGGTGGCCTCCAAGAGACCCCAAGAGAGGTCCGAGAAGCGTCCCGGGACGACCCGAAGAGGCCAACATCGTCGATTTTCATGGTTTTTCTTCAAATTGCTTTGGCATCTCGCGTTTTCGAGCTTCCAACGGTCCAGAGCGCCGAAGTGCCGCGCCTCCCGGCTTCTTGGGGAGACCCCAAGACGCCGAAGGACAGCCCATGACGACCTCCAAAAAGCTCCCAGAACATGAAGAACAGCCCAAGACGCTCCCAAGCTGTCCAAAACACCCTGTGGACGGCTCTCCGCGCTCCCAGGAGGCCTCCAAAGGGCTCCAAGAGAGGTCCGGGAGGGGTCCCGGGAAAGCCCGAAGATGCCAAAATCATAGATTCTGATTGGCCTTCCCGCGTTTTCGAGCTTCCAACGGTCCAAGAGCGCCGAAGAGGCCCCCAAGACCGCCCCAAGACCACCCAAGAGACCCTCAGGACGGCCCCAAGACGGGCCAAGCAGGGTCCAAGCATGCCGAAGAGGCGACCAGGACAGCCCCAGACCACCCCAGAACATGCCCAAGATGGGCCCAAGAGCGGGAGCAGCAGGCTTCCAGAGACCTCCGAGAGGCCTCCAGGACCCCCCAGAGGCCCCACAACACACCCCCGATCCCGGAGAGGCCCCAAAAAGACCCCGACGAGGCCCCAAGGACAGCCCAAGAGAGTTGTGAGAGCCGTCCCGAGGGAGCCCAGAGGGTAAAATCGTTGGTTTCCAATGGTTTTTCTAATGTTTTTCGCCTTTTCACGTTTTCCCGCTTCAAACCCTCGAAGATCGAGGATTTTGAAGAAACAAAAGAGGGAATTCCCAGAATTCATTTTTTTTTCAAAGTGGGACTCCTACTCGGAGATCCCACACATGCCCTGACATCTGGCCGGTACCGCGTCTCCCGGCTTCCCGGGGGGTCCCCAAGACGCCCAAGGACAGCCCAAGACGACCCCAAGGAGCTCCCAGAACGCAAAGAACAGCCCAACACGCTCCCGCGCAGCCCGAGACACCCTTCCGACGGCTCTCCAGGCCTCCAAGAGGCCTCCAGAACCCCCAGGGGGTCCGGAAGATCCGTGCACATTCCTGAGGGGCCTGGCTAACAAAACCCGCGAGGCACAAACAAAAAACAGCGCCGAACAGCGCCGAAGAATTGGAAAAATGGGAATCCCACATTTGTTTTCCATGTTTGCCTCCCGGCCTACTCTTGCACAGCAGACCACAATTCAGACACCCCCCTCACCTCCCAACAAAGAACCCAGGAAGCCTTTGAGGGCCCCAAATCGCTGAATACCTAAAGGCAAGTAATGATTCCTGCGTTTCCGCACTTCCCCTTCTATGCGATTCCGAGGCTTGCGCAGGGCCTGGACGCAAGAAGCGACCAACTCAATATCACATGAGTTAACCTATCAAGCCTAGCTAGAACTGGAGCGCGCGCGAAGCGCGCGCGATGGTTCTAATGTTTATATATATATATATATATATATATATGTATATGTATATGTATATATATATATATATATATATATATATATATATATATCCGTGAGGGCTTCGCCCCCCGCCGCCGGCCCCCTCTCTCGGAGAATGGGCCATGGAAGAGCTAAGTCATGAGGCCTTGGCGCTGTCGTGAAGCAGTATCGAAACTTCATGCGAAGCCGAGTCGCAATCAGCAAAACCAACTGATCACAAGAGGGGTTACCACACCTGGCGATTGGTAAGACGTGTATGGTTTAAGGGCTTGGTTACCACACCTTGCGATGAAAGGGCCGAGGGAGTTCTCGCAGTTTGGGTTACCACGCCTTGCGATGGATGTGCGTGATGGGTTCGAATTTCAGAAATGTGGCAAATCCCTGTGTTTTTGGACCCTGACCCCGCGGATCTGCGTGAGGGGTGGCGCCGAATTTCAGAAATGTGGCAAATCCCCTGTGTTTTTGGACCCTGACCCCGCGGATCTGCGTGAGGGGTGGCACCGAATTTCAGAAATGTGGCAAATCCCATGTGTTTTTGGACCCTGACCCCGCGGATCTGCGTGAGGGGTGGCACCGAATTTCAGAAATGTGGCAAATCCCCTGTGTTTTTGGACCCTGACCCCGCGGATCTGCGTGAGGGGTGGCACCGAATTTCAGAAATGTGGCAAATCCCCAGTGTTTTTGGACCCTGACCCCGCGGATCTGCGTGAGGGGTGGCACCGAATTTCAGAAATGTGGCAAATCCCCTGTGTTTTTGGACCCTGACCCCGCGGATCTGCGTGAGGGGTGGCACCGAATTTCAGAAATGTGGCAAATCCCATGTGTTTTTGGACCCTGACCCCGCGGATCTGCGTGAGGGGTGGCACCGAATTTCAGAAATGTGGCAAATCCCCAGTGTTTTTGGACCCTGACCCCGCGGATCTGCGTGAGGGGTGGCACCGAATTTCAGAAATGTGGCAAATCCTCATGTGTTTTTGGACCCTGACCCCGCGGATCTGCGTGAGGGGTGTCGATTTCGAGCCCCCCCAGTAATTCAGACAACGCGGCCATGGGACGCTGGAAAATCCTGTTTGGGCCTCCCCCCCCCTCGCGCGGTCAATCAACTAGTTACAGTAACCAGCAAGAAGTCAACTAGTTACAGTAACCAGCAAGAAGCAGAACTGTAACACTGGAAACTAGAAACTACAACTGGTACAGGAAACTGCGAATCACGCGCCTCGCAGCCTGGTGGCCCCACAAGGGGGCCGGCGGATATTATATATACATATATACACAAGTGGCACGTGTGTGCCCAGGCTCGTCCAAAAAGAACTGAAAGGGCGTTTGAAGCAGGAAGACACCATGACTGCAGGATCGGAGATGGAGAAGGGGAAGCTGGGGCGGCGCCGCCAGGGCGTGCCTAACAGAAGGGGAAGAGGCAGGAGGTGAACGCAGAATAATCTAAGATCGAGGTCGCACTCGAGGGCAAGTGGGGTTGCCACACCTTGCGATGTGTGTACCAGGGCCCCCCAGGAAACCTCAGGAGGCCCGACTTGGATACCGGAAGAGGCTCCAGGAGACCCCGGGATTGTGAGTGTTGTGTGTGTGATGTGTGCTCTGTGTTGTGCGTGTTTTCTGTGCGTTGTAGGTGTTGTGTGTGTGTGTGTGTGTGTGTTATGTTTGTCTAGCGTGTGATGTGTTGGGTGTGATTTGTGTCTCTGTGTGTGCATGTAGTTCTGAAGCCCCAGGAGGCCCCAGGCGGCGTCAGGAAGCCTCAGAAGACCCCAGGAGGCTCCAGGAGGCCCCAAGAGGCTCCAGGAGGCCGCAGGAGGCCCCAGGAGGTTCCAGGAAACCCCAGGAGGCTCCGAGGCGGGGTCTGGGGTACCAGAAGGTACAGAAAGACCCAGGAGGCCCCAGGAGGTTTGAGGAGCTCTGAGGGGCCTTGTTAGGCTATATTGTGTGCCTCCAGAGGCCTTCTAAGGCAGGTTCTCTGGGTTGCCTTACGGGATCGTCTTCAGGCTTTCAGTGAACCTTTCAGGCATTCGCAGACCGCACGTAGAGCGATATTCAGTCGACGAGCGTGGAACGCGAACAACAAAAATGAGATACCAAAGAAGTCGGAATGCGTTTGGCCTTTCGAGGCCCTCCTGGAGAGCGTTTTGGGGTTGTTTGGGGGCCTCCTGGAAGCCTTTTGGGAACCCATAGGGCACTACTTAAGGGCTATTAGGTGCGTCTCGGCACTAGACGGGCGAGACGGACAGCATGAGAAGAGGGATGAGGCCGTTCGAAGATTGACAGATCCCTTCGAGGCCCTTCTCTCCTCCTTTCCCTGCGCTGCTCCTACGCTCTCCCTCCCACCCTCCCTACTCCCCACTTCCACCCATTTCCCTCATCGTCCTCCCCCTCCCTCCCCTCGCCCCCCGCCCCCCCATGCCCCCTCCCGCATCCCACATTGCTCCGATCCCCCTCCAGACCTCTGACGACTCGATTTCTTCGAGCCGCCAGCCCCCGCCGGAGCTCTGGACCCCTCTCCCGGAACCCGCTTCTCATCCCGCTGGCCCTTGGGCGGCGAAGCGGCCTCCCGATGCGGAAGATTGCAAAGAACCTGGGGCTCGATTTTTGTTGAGCCCCCGCGGGCCTGGGCCACTCCCCCGTCCGGAGGAGGAGGACGAGGAGGAGGAGGAGGAGGAGGAGGAGAAGGAGGAGAAGCAGGAGGAGGAGGAGGAGGTGGACGAGCGCACTCCATGCCAAGCGCTGTGACTCAGAGGAGAAACGCGGACCACCGCCACCGAGAACCCAGCAGTGGGGGGGGCCACTCCCCTGTCCCTGGCCCTGCCTCGCCCTGCGGAAGTCCTTCAGGCTCAGCCACCCGGCGGCCCCATGGGGTGCGCCCCCAGCGGCCGCGCGTAGTGGCCGGCGACTTGCCAGAGGCCTCCCGGGCGCGTAGGCCAGGGCCTGGCATGGCGCAGGTGAGGTAGGCGCGAAATCCAGCCGACGGCCATGGATGAGCTCGCCGATGCGTCTCAGGAGGAGGAGCAGCTGTTCCCGAACGTTGCGTTCACGTTCCACTCCTGGATGACAGACACGCTGTCCATGAAGGAGGGGACGACCAAGAACTATTGCAATCAGCTTCGGCTTCTGTTCGAGGAGGATGGCAAGTCGTTCCCCTGCATGGCGTCGCCGGAGTACTTCACAATGGTGAGGAACTCCCCTGTGAACAGGCGCGGCAACAACCAGCGGTCGGCGTGCGTCAAGAAGTTCATGGAGTTCTGGAGCGCGAAGGGCGGAAAGCTGTGGAACGAGAAGGGCGGCTGGGTGCAGGCACCGCCGAACTTGCACACGTTGAAGGGTCCGATCGGTACGGGCCGATCAGACGGCGAGGGCACCAGCGGCTCCAGCCTGCCCAGACCTGCGCAGGGGCACGGGGGAGGTGCGCCCGCAGCGCTGGCGCCGTCGCAGGCGTGCTGGCTGCAAGCTCAAGGGGTGCGCTCTTGACCCAACCCGGGCCTCCGACGTCTCGAGAATCGCGACGCAGAAGTTTTTGCAGTTTTCGAGCCCCGGGACTGTTGAAAACCGACTCAGGATGAAGAGCCGGCCTTGGGGGGAAAGGGCTGGGACTTCCGAGGACCGCGCATTGAGAAATTCAAGACATCGGAGGGCTGGCAAGGTGTTCTTGGTCCAAGGTGTCCCCAGGTTTCCGCGTCGTTTTTGAGCTCTCTGGGGCGCTCTGGGCCTCGCGAGGGTGCCTTGGAGGAGTCGGCTGCACGCAAGAGTGACCTCTCGCCGTACGGTGGGGGCGTTCGTTAAGGAATGTGCCCGGGGGGCTTCAGACCCTGGAGGATTCCTTCTCTGATGAGGGCGGCGGTGATATCCATGGCCAAGTCTCGATTGGAGTTCCACCGGCCTCCAGACCCTGGATGCCTTATCTGATGATGGGCCTGTTTTCCACCACCACCACCATAAGTTGGATGGGGGGGAGGAGGTGGAGGACGAGGAGGAGGAGGAGGAGGAGGAGGAGGACGACGAGGAGGAGGAGGAGGAGGAGGAGGAGGAGGAGGAGGAGGACCCCCTCCCCCTCCAACTTATGGTGGTGGTGGTGGTGGAAAGCAGGCCCATCATCTGAGGGCTCCTCATCCACTGCATGATCTAAGGGCTCCTCAGCCACTGTCCTCACTGCGCTTCGCGCTCGCGCGGGAACACTTTCGAGCGAAAGAGGGACAGAGCTCGGGCGAGGGCGACACGTCGCCTGCCCACGCGGGGCCCCCAGATCTGGCGGGTGCCACCCCTGCGCCGCGCCGGGGCGGGACCCCGGGACTCCTCCTCATAATTAGGGGGCTCCTTCTCTGGGGGCTCCTCACCCGCTGGGGGCTCCTTCTCCGGGGCTCCTTCTCTGTGCCATCTCTGCGGGCTCCTCCTCTGGGGGCTCCTCGCTCGCCCGCTGCCCCCCGCCGCGGTGGCACTCGGTGCGCGGCCTTCGGGGGGCGCCAAGGGGGGGGGGCCACGGCCCAGCACGGAGGCCGCCACCGTCGCAGCGCATGGCGGCGATCGGCGGCAGCCAGCGGTCACGCTCCTGCCCAGGGCCACCCTTGCAGGGCTCGTCTCGATTCCCCCGATTCGGCTCGGTTCGATGTCGCTGGATTCCGATTCTGATTGGGTTCGACTTGGGACTCCGATGCGGGTTCCGATTTCTCGCGGGACGCATACAAGCCTGCCGATGTCCGCCGATTCGGCTGCCGATTTCCGCCGATCGGATTCACGTCGATCGCTGATCCGACTTATCGATTCCATACTGGGCTCTCCTGCCCTTGCGTCTAGCCGCAAGGGCGAATCTTAGGAAGGGAGGAGGAAAGACAAAAAAGGAAGTCCATATCCCATATGCGCACTGTCATGAAGTTGCTGTGTACATCATTCAAGCATGCACACCGCAGGGAGCCTTCAGTCGGGCGTGTCCCTCTACTGGAGGAATATTCGACAATATGTCAAACATACTCTGGGTATTTTCTAATATGTATGTATGTACATATTTATGTATATATGTATATTCGTAAGGGCTTCGCCCCATGCCGCCGGCCCCCTGTCTCGGATAATGGGAGATGCAAAAGCTAAATCATAATGTCTGGGCGCCGCCGTGAAGCAGTGTCGGGACCTCTTTGTTTTTCGACCCTGACCCTACGGATCTGCGTCACCCAGTACAGCACTTCGTGGCCCCATAGGGAGCCCCACCGAAGCCCCCAGTGGGGCCGCCCGCACGCGTCCCCCACACCCAATGTGGTATTTTCACCCACCCTTTACAACGCTTCGCGGCCCCATGGGGAGCCCCACCGAAGCCCCCACTGGGGCCGCCCGCATGCGTCCCACATGCTTAATTTGATATTTTCACCCATCCAGTGCGGCGTTTTGTGGCCTCATAGGGAGCTTCACCGACGGCCCCAGTGCTACCGCCCGCATGCGCCCCCCCCCGCGCAGCGCAGCGCTTCGTGGCCCCATAGGGAGCTTCACCGAAGAATATATTCACAATTGCGGCACCCACAACTTCATATGGTTGAATCCTTCGCCAGGATAGTGGCACCCTGACCCCGCCGATCTGCGTGAGGGGTTCCACCGAATTTCAGATATGTAGCAAATCCCGTATGCTTTTGCACCCTGACCCCGCCGATTTGTCTGAGGGGTGTCACCGAATGTCAGAAATGTGGCAAATCCGATGTGTTTTTGGACCCTGACCCCGCCGATATGCGTGAGGGGTGCCACCGAATTTCATACATGTGGCACATTTTTCATGTTTTTTGACCCTGACCCCGCCGATCTGCGCGAGGGGTGCCACCGAATTTCAGAATGTGGCAAATCCCCTGTGTTTTTGCACCCTGACCCCGCCGATCTGCGTGAGAGGTGCAAATTTTCACTTTCAGAAGTTGTTTTGAGAACCTTTGTTTGGCCGTAGTAAAAATGACCGTTTTGGGCCTCCCCCTTTCGCGCGGTCCATCAACAAGGATCAGTAAGCAGCAAGCAGCAAGAAGTCAACAAGGAACAGTAAGCAGCAAGAAGCATAATTGCAACAGTGGAAACTGGAAGCTGCAACTGGTACAGGAAACTGCGAAGCTTCGTCCTACAGCCTGGTGGCCCCACAAGGGGGCCGGCGGATATATTACCATTTGGGAGCATTTTTGTTGCTATGTTTTTTTTTTCGTCCTAAATCCGCCTGTAGGGGGACAGGCCCGACCTAAGTCCAGCCGCAAGGGTTGCTCACGGCCCAAGGTTTCCCCAGCTTCCCGCGTCGCTCCGGAGCCGGAGGCCCCCTGAGGCCCCTCTGGGCCGCGCGAGGGGATCCCCGCCGGGCTAGGCGGGCGAATCATGCCGCTCTGACGGGCCAGTCTTGCGGGTTGCGTGGGCGGTCCTTCACGGGCGGTTCGGGCGGGGGGGACATTCAAGGTGAGCGTTTTTTTTCCTCTCCAGCGTAACGCTCGTTACCCGGGCCAACCCTCCCCCCCCTCGGGTAACGCTAACGATCGTGCCGTGGGGGAGGGGGGCCTGGCCCCCCCCTACATGCTGGGAGCGGACACCTCGCTTAGCGGGCGGGCGGTCCAGTGTGTGCCAGGCAGTCTTTACTGGAGCGGGTTTCTGCCTGAGGTTTTGCAGGAGCTGGCTCTGCCGAAGCGGTCTTCTCATCCCCCTTCCTCCCACGTACATCCCCCCTCCTAGCCCCCGAGACTTCGCCCTCGCTTGGTAGTGCAACCGTCCTGCGCTCCTGAGGAGGTCCCGCGGAGTGCGGGCAAACGCGGATCCAATTGGACCTCGCCCAAGCTAAGTGCTGTCAGGCGTGCAACTGCCGTTTTTCCTGCAGTCCGGAGTCCTGAGGGGTCCCAGCTGGATGCGGACACATGCGGATCCAATATGACTTTCCATCCATAACCCTCCACTTGATCAATGTTTTCGTTTGTTGTTTCTCTTCCTCCGCCTTGCCGCCCTGCTCATCCTCTGCGTCATTCTCATCCTCAGAGATCTCGTCCCCCATGGGAGTGTCAATCGGCTTGTGCGGACTGGGTGCGTCCCTGGGCGGTTTATCATGACCCCAGTCGGCCGACAAGAGCTCGCCGGGCAAGGAGTCCCTGGACGTTGCTGCCTCGCGCTCCGCCACGGAGCCCGCGGCGACGTTATCGGGCGCTGGCGGCGGCGGTGGCTCGTCGAGTTCGTCGCACAAGCCGCCGCCGCCCGCCGCCAAGCCGAGCGAGTGGTCAGATGCAAGCCCAGAGGACAGGAAGGACCTCCCGGACTTGCTGGTGCGTTTCAGGATCGAGTGTCAACGATCGGCTTGCAAGCGTGACAGTGGCACAAACTTGCAGGCGGCAAGGTAAGCGAGCATACCTTCTTGAGGCCACTGTTGTCTTAGCATGTAGTTTTTGGGCGCGGTCTGAACGGAAAGGCCACCGACAAAGTCTAAAAGAGGCATGCCTTTTAGGGAGACCCGCATCGCTTAAAGGCATACACCCCTCTTCGGAGGGGCCTGGGAAATAACATTTATAGTAGAACTTATGTGTGTTTCTTCATCATGAGACAGACACAGAGATTGGCCTGCCCCAAGGTGCCTGCGCTGTTTTCTTCTTTGTTGTCCCTCCCTCTCTCTCTCTCTCCCGCTCCCTCTTCCTGTCACATTCCCTCGCTGCTGACAGGAGATGGATCGAGACGAGGAAGAGCGACGAAGTAGCCAGTGCGACTGCCAAATCCTTCGGCGACCTCTTCAAGAAGCACAACGCGCCGCTCGCGGTCATGGGCAGCAGCGAGTTTGTCAGGTGGCTCAAGTCGCCGAGCAAGGCTAAACCTGGCCAGATGGGCCTCAAGAGTGCTATGTGGTTCCCACCGGCTTCGAAGACTGTCCCGTCCTTGGGACAATTTGGGGTAGGTCCATGACACCGTCGCGCGTTGAGATAGTGAGACCTGACAGATGGTAAGAGCCCACACCGTACGGGCCAGGGCGGTCGGCAGTGACCCATCGGGCTCCAGGCATTGAGGATGCGGGCGCGTGTGATTTTGAGCCCCTCAACATTGGAATCCCCTGTCGTGATGTGTGATCGCGCCATGCGTGATGTGGCGTGGGTGCGAGGCTGCGTGCGAGGTGGTTCGGCACCAGGTGCCGCGTGGAGGACACGGCCTGCCCCTGCTCTGACGTGCAGCCGCGCGCGGTTCCTCGGCGTTGTGGTGTCGTGGTGTTGTCGCCCGTGGTATTTTGGCGCCCTGCTATCGCGGCGTCGAGGTGTCTGCATAGTGTCGCGGTGTCTTCGCGGCGTGGTCTCTCGGTGGTGCGGTGCCTTCGCCTAGTGGTGCCGCGATGTCGTGAATAGTTTCGCGGCATCGTCTTGCCGTAGTGTGTTGTACGTGGTGTCGCGTGTCATCTTTGCAATTGTTTCATCATTGCTGTATATGGTGCAATTGCATTGCGGCCCGCCTGCACATGTACCTCAAATAAGATGCGAATGCAGTTCAGACACATGGTTTCAGGAGCGAAGACACGTGAGTTGAAACTGACATTGTAAGTGAATCCAGAATCAGGGGAGAACGCGCGCGAACAATTGGTATGCCCAACGTGAGCCACTTGTGATTCAGTTGTAAAGTTCTTAGAGCCAAACGTTAGCCATGTGTGGGCCGATCGTGAGTTGATTGCTCACCAAGCGCCGACCTTTCATTATATTAGTTCAGGGTATGTGTTCGGTCAATGGTGAGTCTGCTGTGAAGCTGTAGTGCAGTGTCTGTTACGGACTGGCGCAGCACTTGCATTTCGTAGACCAATGTTGGCCAGCGTGGACCCCACACAGGGTGTTTCTAGCAAGATTTGTTGTGATACCGTACGTGTGAGGTGTACAACCTATGTGGAGCAATCGATGTGGTGCGATCTATGCGGTGCCATATATGCGGTCCCATCTATGTGGTGCAATCCATGTTTTGCAAAATATGGTGTGAACTCTATTTTGTGCGATCTATGTGGGGCAAGCTCTGTGGTGTAATCTATGGTGTGCAATCTATGTGGTGCGATCTACGTGGTGCAGTCGATGTGGAGCAGTCTTTTTTGTGCAATCTATGTGGTGCGATCTATGTGGTGCAATCCACTCTGCTGAACTTGGAGTCGTCATTTCCACTGCTCGCGCAAACATCCCACCCACCCACCCGCAACTTGGTTTGCAAAACCTGTTAAGATCGACTACGACGACACCGACGACAACGACTAGGACGACACCGACGACGTCTCCGACGACTTCGACGACGACAACGACGCCGACGACGACGAAGACGACGACGACGCCAACGAAGGCGACGACGAGGGAGGAGGAAGGACGACGACGGCGACAATGACGACAACGACGACAACGACGAGGGAGGAGGGAGGACGGCGACGACGCGAACGACGACGAAGGAGGAAGGACGGCGACGCCGACGACGACAACGACGACGACGACGGCGACGAAATAGGAGGGACGACGACGAGACGCCGACGACGGACGACGACGACGACGTGGGAGGAGGAGGAAGGACGACCACGGCGACAACGACGACGGAAACGACCACGATGCCAAAGAGGACGACGACGACGAACACGAGAAAAGACAGAGGACGACGTAGGCGACGACGACGACGACGCGGGAGGAGGGAGGAAGGCGACGACGACGACGACGACGACGCAAGAGCGCGCGCGCACGCTTTTGTTGAAAATCCGTGTTGCGAAACCTTGGGTTTTTGTATGTTTTTTGGACGCACGATTTTGAAATCCTTCCGAAACCGGCATACGCCCGCGACGACGCGCGCGTCTGCACTTCGTCCCATTTGTCGCAGAGGATTCTCGCGACGGCACACGCGCAAGGGCGTTCGACAGATTTCGACATGCGCGCGCGAAGCCCGTTTGGTAGCATTTTGTGAAAATCTTGAAAAACCTATGGTTTTCTTAAGATTTCGCAAGAGCTCGCGCGGAAGCTTTTTAAGCAAATCAGCGTTGCGAAACCATGTGTTTTTGTATGTTTCTTGGAAACTCGATTGCGAAATCCTTCCGGCACCGGAGGTTTTTGGAGGATTTCGGCATGCGCGCGCGACGACGCGCGCGTGCGCACTTCGTCTTATGTTTTGCAAGGGATTTGCGAAAAAGTGCTATGTTAGAACAAAAGATGTCACCGCATAGTGTGTGTGTGTGTGTGTTTTTTTACAAAGGGAACCTCAGATGGGGGGAACCCGGTTTGGCTGGGATGGTATGATTTCATTTTTAGGATGGACGAGTGTGCAGAACATATATATATATAAATATATGTATATACATATACATATATATGTGTGTGAAATCCTAGTATCCCAGGGGGAGGCGATAAGTCCGGGGGGGGGGTAGAGTGTATTATTTTTTTATTGAAAGGAGAATCCACTTTGGCTGTCTTGAAGCTGTCCTCTCCACTGCTCGTGCAAACATCCCACCCTCCCACCCGCAACTGCGTCGCAAGACCTCTTAAGACCGTGACAGTAGGTACCACATGGCATTTGGCAACGATACCGACGCCGACGACGACAGCGACAACGACGACGACGACGATGCCGACGATGACTACGACGACACCGACGATGACTCCGACGACATCGACGACGACGACGACAACAACGACGACGACACCGACGACGACGACGCCGACGCCGACGACGACGACGATGACGACGCCGACGATGACGACGACGACGACGACACTGACGACGACGACGCCGACGGCGACGACGACGACGACACTGACGACGACGCCGACGACGACGACGGTTTCTCGTCGAGGATGTATGGTACGACTCATATGATTTCATGAAGCTCGGTCTTGAAATGGTTGAAGATACAATGTGTTTGGAAGGATTTCGACATGCGCGCGCGGCGGCCGCGCGCATCTGGCAGGCGCACGACCGATGTTGACGGCGTCCGACGCGCGCGCATAAGTTGCTCGAGTGACAGACGCGTTGAAAAAACCATTGGCTTGTTAGGATTCGGAAAGCGCGCGCGGGTAATATGTTTGATTGTTCTGCAGATTTCCTTCGAGAATGTATGGTACGATTCGTGTGATTTTATGAAGCTCGGTCTTGAAATTGTTGAAACGACAATACGGAAGGAATTCGAGCTGCCCGCGTGGCGGCCGCGCACATGTGCCCCGCGTTGTGGTTTTTACCAGGGGCTGTGGCCCTGGCAGGTGCGCGACCCGCTGTTGAATGAGATCGACGTGCGCGCAAAAGTTGCCCAAGAAACCCGATTCGACAGGAATGTTGAAACACCCTTGTAGTTTGAAGGATTCGGCAAGAGCGCGCGGGCAGATTTCAGAATATTTGGGGGAGGCAGTCGTCTGTATTCACAGGTCTTCTTGAAGCGGGATGCTGAAATTGTTGAAAACAGCATGTGTTGGTACGGATTTCGACATGCGCGCGCAGCGGTCGCGCGCGTGTGCCCCGCATGGTATATCGCGAAAAGTGTTATGTTAGAGCAACAGAATGCCACCGTATAGTATGGCTTGCCAGGGAATCGAAGGGGGGACCGATACAGGCCTGGCTGGAATAATATGAATTCACCGGTAGGGTGGACATTGTGTCAGGAACATGTGTGTTTTGCATGGTTTTCGGGGGAATCGATAAGTCATGGGGGGAGGGTGGTAGAACTTCATTATTTTTGAGAACGTTGAACATTAACCAATGCTCAACTTGAAGTTGTCCTCTCCAGCTGCTCGCGCAAACATCCCAGCCACCTACCCGCAAGTTGGTTTGCAAACCCCATGCGGCGGCGATTGAAGTGAGTGCTTGGCGTTGGCTGGTGCATCTCTGCGGCCGCGACAGCCTGGCTTGGGCGGGCGCGGTATCATGGCAACGCTGACAACCGCAGACACGGTGATGATAGTAGCGGTGCTGGTGACGATGGTGAAAGCGACGACCACGGCCAGTGAAGGCGCGGTTGGTGCTCGCGCCGTCGACGATGACGGCGCCCTCGCATTGGCGATGAAGGTTTTGGAAAGGGTTCGACATGCGCGCGCCGCCTACGCGCGAGAGTGGCCCGCGCGGTTGTTCTGACGCGGATCGCGTCCCCCCAGCACGCGCGACGCGCGAATGGTGTCGGCATGCGGCGCGAGAGGTTCGCCTGGTAGAATGCCATGGGCATGTTGCAAAACATCGTTTTCTGTAGAATTCGCAAGAGCGCGCGCGCACGCTCTTTTGAAAATTGATGATGCGAAACCACGTGTGTGTTTCCAGGTGTTTTTGACATTCGGTCTTGAAGTCGTTACGAAACCGAAGGTATTTTAAGGGTTTTCGGCATTCGCGCGCGACGACACGCGCGCGCGCGCAATGCGTCCCATTTTTTGCACAAGGTTCTCGCGACGGCACGCGCGCAAGGGCGTTCGAACGATTTCGACAAGCGCGCGCGCGAAGCGCGTTTGGTAGAATTGCTTGGGGGAACGATTGAAAGAAACATTGGTTGGCGTACGGATTTGCGAGAGCGCGTGCTTACGCTCTGAAGAACCCGCGGTGCGAAACTATGTGTTTCCATATGGTTTTGGACATTCATTTGGACATATTTTCGAAACCGAAGGTTTTTGACGGATTCTGGCATGCGCGCGTTACGACGCGCGCGTGTGCACTTCGCCCGGCTTGTTTGCAAGGCATTCATAAAACTGTTAATTCGTTCTAGACGAGTGCGCGCGCAGTTTTCTTTTCTGTGGATGGCGGGGGGGGGGTCGAGACCGGCTCGGCTGGGATGGTGCGAGTTCGTATCTAGGATGGACGATGGGACATAATCGTATGTAAATTGCAAAGCAAAATGCCGGGTCGATAAACCAAGGGTTTTTTTTTTGTAGAAGGGAGAATAAATTTCTGTTCGCAGTGAGTTGTCAATTCTATTGCTCGCGCATTAATCCCACCCACCTACCCGCAACTTGGTCTGCAAAACGCATGCGGTCGGTGGCGATTGCGATGGGTGCTTGGCGTTGGCTGGTCCATCTCTGCGGCCGCGACAACCCAAGCACACGCGCGCGCAGCGGTCAGCTAGTGTGGCGCGACCGACGCGGCCGCGGTGGCGCTGACCGCTGGGCATGTCCGAGCGGGCACTTCAGTGCAAGTCGGCGACTTGGGTGGGCGCGGTATCATGGCAACGCTGACAACCGCAGACACGATGATCATAGTAGCGATGCTGGTGACGAGCTGGCAACGACGTCGGCGCGGCCATTGCGGGCGCCGATGCTGATCTCGCCGACGACGATGACGGCGCCCTCGCGTTGATGATGACGGTTTTGGAAAAACGTCGACATGCGCTCGCAGCCCACGCGCGAGAGAGGCCCGCATGGTTTTATTTGACACGGAACGTGCCCCCCCCCCAAGCATGCGCGCAAGGGCGCGCGAATGATTTCGGCATGCGGCGCCAGAGGCCCGTTGGGCAGAATCCATGACATGTTGCAAAGCCTATGGTTATCCGAAGAATTCGCAAGAGCGCGAACGCACGTTTTTTCTTCTCCTTTTTCGAAGACTGATGTTGCGAAACCATGTGTTGTTATATGCTTTGTTTGGGAATCGCTACGACGCTGGAGGTTTTTGAAGACTGTCGGCATGCGCGCGCGACGACGCGCGCGCGCGTGCACTTCGTTCAATTTCAGCCGAAGGATTCTCGCGACAGCACGCTCACAAGGGCGAGCGAGCGATTTCGACGTGCGCGCGCGAAACCCATTTTGTTGCATCGTTTGCAAATTATGACAACCCGAAGGTTTTCGTAAGTGTTCGCAAGAGCGCGCGCGTACGTTCATTTCTGTTGTTGAAAATCCGTGTTGCGAGATCTCTTGTTTTTATATGCTGTTTGGAAATTCGATTTGTAAACCCGTTCGAAATCGAAGGTTGTTGAAGGATTTTGGCATGCGCGCGCGACAACGCGCGCGTGTGCACTTCATTTGTTGTTGCAAGGGTTTCTTTTCAAACTGATGGTTTTTGATAAACGAGTGAGCGTGCATAGTATATTTTGCAAAGGATGGCGGGGGCGGCGGATACCGGCCCCCCTAGGATGGTGTGAGTTCATTTTCTGGATGGGCGATGGGACAAAATCATGCGCAAATTGCCATACGAAGAGGGGGTCTGATAATCCTGGGGAAAAAGGGGGGTAGAGATTATTTTTTTCTCTGAAAGGAGAATATATGTGGAGCAGTCTGTGTTGTGCAAGATACGCGTTGCGATCTATGTGGTGCTTTGTACGTGTCGCAATGCAACGCAAGCAATTCAAAACCATGGCAGGCGACGCAATGCGAAGCAACGCGAAGCAACCCAGCGTAATACAGCAATATAGCGCACGGCATGGCAACGCAAAGCAATTCAAAGCAACACAATGCAACGCAAAGCGATGCAACGCGACGCAAGGCATAGCAACGCGAAACAATGACAAGCAATGCAGGCCCAAACGAACAGCGGCGACGCACTGGCGACGGGGTGGCGACTGCGATTGCATCGCCGTCAGACTGCAACACCGGCCCAGACTACGGGCGGCGACGAGGCGGCGACGGGACGACGGCTGCCACATAGCCGCCAAGGCGGCACACCGGCCCAGACGACGAGCGGCGACGACGCGGCGACGTGTCGATGGCGACAACATAACCGCCAGATCGCCACACAGGCCCAGGCGACGGGCGGCGACGAGGCGGCGATTGGGCTGTGGCGGCAACAGCATGGCCACCAGACCGCCACGCACGCCAAGTTCCTTAGAAAAGAAATATGACCCCCCCAAGTGCAAGCACATTGTGGGGAATATTGTGTCAACTGCGGGTCGATACCGAGCCAGGCGTGATGCAATTCTGAGCCAGATGTGGAACAATATTTGATCATGCTTTGCCCCCAAACCGACAGGTCAAATGCTGCGTTACGAATCTCTAGCGCCCCCGCCCATCCCGATGAGTTTCTGAATTGGGACCTCCTACGTTGCTTTGTTAGAATGGTACTGGCGTGGGCAGTGCTCATTGCATGTAGATGTAGTGGCAGTGGCAGGTACCGAGGCAGTAGTAGTTGTAGTGGCAGTACTAGTGTTAGCTGCTAGTAGCAGTGGAAAGTGGAAATGGTAGTGGTTATGGTCGAGGTGGCGGTTGTGGTACTGACAGTGGTGGTTGTAATGATAATGGTAGTTGTAGCAGTACGGTGGTAGTGCCACGGACTTGTCAGCAGTAGTGTCCAGAGTGACAGCATCGACAGATGCATCAACAGCCACGCCCGTGGCAGCGAGAGCATTTGCAACGGCGCCACGGCGATGCTTATAGAAGCTCTTGTGCCACGTGAACTCGCAGATGTACCAGTAACAGTGACATCGACCACGTCGTTGGTTTCGGTCGTGACTTGCTGAGCGCGCTCTGACATATGTCCAGCAGGTTTGATGAGTACTTTCTTGGAATCCCCCCTTGCGATTGCAATCGGGATTGGAGCTTTGGTCACAAAGATAAGAGGTGGCGGCAGTGATGTGGATTATCATCGTGATAGTGGCCCAGCGGGTGTCTCTACGATTTTGTCCCTGAGGCTGCCTGCATGTGCCTTCCTCGGTCGCTGTTCGCAGCATGCCTGGGCCGATTGACTTGGAGTGGGGATCGCCCTTGCTCCTGTCATCAATCTCCCAACCCGGCTGTTGTATGATTGCCCCAGGGTGCTGTCGTCAAGCGCCACCCCTCGGTACCGTCGGATCGACGAGCCGTCGCGAAGAGGGGAAACGCACGTCTGCTTCTGCACGTGCGCTTCTGACACACCAGAACCGGCTCTGCGCACCGACGGTGCCGATGGCTGGGACGTTCTCGAGCCTGGCCAGGTTCGGGCACTTCTGGGTGGAGGGGCTCGGGCGCAAGCTCGAGGGCACCCTCTGCGAGGTGCCGGACTTGAGGCCAGGGGCAGCAGCGCAGGCGCCGCCAGCGGTCGGTGCCGCGACAGAGCCCAGGCAGGGCGGGAAGCGCAGGCGGGGGGAGGGCGCCAACCTGCTCCGAGGCGGGGGTTCATCCACGACCCCCGCTTGGGGGATCGATCTTCGGAGACCTTGGCAGGCGGTGGATCTGTACATTTTCGGGCCCCCTGGGGCCTGAATATATATATATATATATATATGTGTGTATATGTGTATATATATGTATATATATATATGTGTATATATATATATATATCCATATTCAGCGCCCGCCGGGGTCCCAGAGCGTCGATTCCTTAGGCGCTGGATATAGACAGGCAATCGCCTCGCAACGACAGGCAAGATGCTGAAATAAGGAACGGATCGGGTCCGGGAGGCGCCCGTTGTTCCATAAGTCCTTCCACTGTTTTTTTTCTAACACTCCTCGTGCACGCAATGGAAGCTTTTGAGACCCAATTTGGCTTCCCCGGAAGCGATCTGGAAAAGTAATGTAATTCTAACCGTCGATTTGTCTATTGTCGTCGCCTTCGCTTTCTCGTCGTTTCGGGCCTCTGGGGGCCATTTTCGGCTACGGGACCTTCAGAAACTGACCCAGGATGAAAAACTACCCCCGTCCCCCGGACGATTCTTCGACTCGACCTTCACAAGTCGCATTAATTTTCCAGGGGGGGTGCATGGTCGCACGATGGCGGTACATACCCCTCGCCCTGTGTTCAGCATCACCCTACCTCGGTGACGATCTTAAGGGCTCCCTCAGTTTATGGTGTCATATCCCTGAGGTTGTCGTCGCTTTTTGCTTGCCGATCTAGTCAGAAGTTCGAGTCTGGCCGGGCACGAGCCTGCTGCACACCGATCCTTGCCAGGCCGATCCTGCGCGCAGAATGGGCCCGTCCATCATCGTTGCAGGTGTGCGGTGGAAGACGTGGAACTTAGGATCACCTTGGGCTGAGGAGGAGACTGTTCTTAGGGTCCGGAGATACCGCGGGTTATCGGGCCCGCCCCCCGCCCCCTCTCCCAGATAACTTGACCTCGTCGTTTGCGCAGGTCCGAAGGGGGTACGCTGTACGGGCGCGCGCGGGGATACGTGAGCTGCCACAGCGAAAAGTTTGGGTTATCGGCAGGCCCCCCTCCCCACCGGATAACCAGGATTTCCGCTGGAATATGACAACCGATCTCGAGGGGTTTGCGTTTTTGGGCCGTTCTTGAGGTCCAGCTCGGGGTACTTGTTCGTGGCCGAGGTTCGTCGTGGCCAGGGGAGCTCCTTGGATGATCATCGTCGCACTACTGATGCACAGCCACCGATGACCGTACATAATGATAGGTGCAGGCATTGATGATGGCATGTAAGTAATAGTGTCATACTCCAGTCTTACCGGTGATTGCATCGATCATCGCGAATGTCTACAGTCATCGATGACTTCACAACTGGCGCCCTTCATACAGGCTGGGCGACGGCTTGACGGAGCGGGGCGCCAAGAGGCGGAGGGAGCTGGAGGAGCTCGGGGGCCGCAACGCAGTGTGGGGCCCAGGTGGCGCTTGCGCGCATCTAAAGGGCTCTGGTCGCCCAGCGGTTCCCCACCTTTCACTCCTCCTCCTCTCCTCCTCCTTCTCCTCCTCCTCCTCCTCCTCCTTCTCCTCCTCATCCTATCCTCATCCTCATCCTCATCCTCATCCTCATCCTCATCCTCATCCGCATCCTCCGTAGCCATTTTGGCTCAAGATGTTTGTGCCCCGTGGCAGAGCACGGAGACCCCTGGTCAGGGGACTGCAAGGACCGCTGCTTTCCGCCCTCGCCGTGCCCTCGGCGTTGTGCCTCTCCATATACTGTGCTGCGTGGTCGCAGCTTTCATATCACACGCGAGCTGCCCAGACCACAGACTCGCTCGCCTTGCGATGGGAAGCCGTGGCGCATCTGGCTCCGTCGACTCCTGCGACAAGGGCAAGGGCAAGGACGCCTCATTCGCCGACCCATGGGCTACTGGCGTTCAGAAGCTTGCAGCAATCGACTTTCCTGCGCACCAGCGGAAGGTGCTCACCGACGTGCTCCAGACCCAGGTCGACAAAGCTACCGCAGCCTTCGAAGCCACCTCCAAGCAAGTCGCTGCCGCCGCGCAAGCCGAGTTCCTGGCAAACATCACGAAGGTCACCGAACAGCTCAGCACCCGTCAGGAGTCTACCGAGCGGGACATTGCAGAGCTCAAAGGCCGTGCTGACCGAGCTGAGCGACTCCAAGGCGACCTTCAAGCCAGTGTGGCCGCTCTTCAACAAGCGCTACGACATGCTGAAGCTCTCCACCCAGCGCTGGACCTGGATGCCCTCGGTGCGTGGGATCGTCCACCGAATGCAGCCACTTTCTGGTGCGGTGCTGCCTCTGAGTTCTCCGTCGCCGCACTCAAGTCCGCTCTGGCCCCCTGGTTCGACGCCGCCGACGTGGACATCAATGCGCTCCGCATCAATTCGGAGGGCCCAGCACGGAGGATCTCATGCACGCTCACTGGCGGCAACACGGTTGCTCTCCCGCGTGCTCAAGCACTACACCGCGCACTTCGACAAGGACGAGAATGGCGTCGCTTCCAAGTGGACGCCGGATCTGGCCCCACCGCCTTATACGTTTCTGCGGACAAATCACCACGCATGGTCAGACAGGAAGTCCAGCTCAAGAAACTCAACAAGATCATCAATGACAAGTTCCCCATGCTCGAGACTCGGATCCACCGCATTGGCGGCTTCCTCTCCATCAGCGGCGCCCCCATCGTCCAGGTCACGGCTGGAGGCACTCCCGGCGAAGCTACCCGAGTTCGCTGGTCCGATGCAGCTGCTCCCGCTGGCATCCCCATCACCGAGCACCAGCCCCTGGCTGCCGCGCTGGCGGCTGCCTTCGCCAACCCACTGGAGGCAGCACGGTGGCTTTAGCACGCGATGGTCGCCGTGGCTCACAAAACCACACCCCGATGGCTTCAACCTGGTCTCGTGGAACACGCAGGCGCTCAACGGCAGATCGGCAACACGGCGTGCTCTCAAGCGACAGATGCTGCTCCCCTACATGCGGCAACGAGCGGTCATCGCCCTCCAAGAGACCCACGGCAATAGCATCGACATGGACATCCTGGCCTCGAGCACTGACCACAAACACATTGCCTTCCACTCGGCTCTCATGACAGATGGCAATTCCTCGGAGACCGCAGGCGGCATCGCATTCCTGGTTCCGTTTGATCGAGCCGAACTCCAACTTCCACCTGAACAACGGCCCCAACGTACATTCCGTGCGATCGTCCCTGGCCGCATTGGTGAGCTACGCGTTCAAGATGGAGCACGGCAGCACGAGACGACCATTTTCAACATCCACAACTACGACCTCAGCGACTCTGATCGGCAGCGCTTCAGAGCTGCCTGGCAGGCAGCTGCTCACCGTTCTGCCCTCCACCCTGACAACCACGACTATTTCATGGTCGGTGACTTCAACATCGCACATGCGCCGCCGAGGAACCTGCTCCACCCCACCGCTGACTCCACTGCCGAGCGGTACCACTACCAGCCCGTCTTCTGGAAGAGCATCTTCTCGCAGATGATGGAGATCACAACAAATGCCACCACTCATCGATGCGCTGCCAACATGACGGAGGCGGCCATCGACAGGTGCTTCGTCTCGATCAACGCGTCCAACATCCCGCGCATCGAGTCCATACTTGTCGCCGATGGCAGACCGCTTGATAGAGAAGGAGAGCCATCAGCGATCACGAAATCCTACATCTTAGACTTCGACCTCGACAACCACGGCCAGTCAGCGAGCGTGGCATACCTGCCTTCCTCTTCGGGTCCAAGCACTACAAGTTCTACTTCCAGCGCCTTACCGAGATGGCCGACCTCTCTGCCGACCCAATCTCCAATTGGCGGACAATGAAGCACATAATGAAGCTGGCAGCGCGCATGCCTCGCGACACAATCACCACCTTCTCCGCAACCGGGCTCGAGTCGATCGATAACCAGAGGGAAGATGCACATGTCATAGCAGAGACACGCGCTCTCACGCTTCGCAGTATTGCCAGGGCCATCTGGCACCAGGACCTCGCACTTGCCCAGCGGCTTCGCAACGACTCCACCGCGGGGGCGAAGCACATCGACATCCACCATCACGCGATCTCTCTTGTCGACCGCACCGCCTTCGAGACCGAGCACTCCGCCATGCAGCTCCAGATCGCGGGACATCGTCGTCGTGCTGCCGCCGCGCGCTCGCGAGCTGCCTACGCTGAACAACGACCCGACGTTGGCGAACAATGGCGACGACGTGCCCGCCGTATTGGTCAGCGCAGTGAGGTCTGGAAGCCATTCTCGAAACGCTTGATACCCGCAGGCGTCCGCATCGCCGATAGCAGAGGCCCGACTCTCGCCAACGATCCCACGAGCATGCACAGCGCTATTCAATCTCACTGGTCGAAGGTTTTCGCGGCCAAGCCAGTTGACACCCCAGCGATGCCGCAGTACCTGGACATGGTTTTCCCACCAGCACCTCCACGACACCTGCCTCTTCCAGGGATTGACGAACTCCAGGCTGCCGCCAAACTCGCCAGTGACTCAGCCCCTGGACCTGGCGGACTTCCATGCCGCGCTTGGGTACGATCCGAAGGCAGCATCGCTATCCTCCACGACCTACTCCACTCCATTGCTCACGGCGGCCCGATCCCCTACGACCTGAACCACGCGCTCATGGCCATGCTTCCCAAGGGTGACGAGCCCATGGGCAACTACTAGTGCTCCCGCAGCCCTGACTGTCTCCGCCCCCTCGCCATGAAGAACAGTGACATCAAGATCATCGCCTCCGCCACGAACCGCATCCTCAGCGCCATCGCGTCGGACACCGAAGATGAACAACAAGGATTTGTTAATGGCCGCCAATTTCTTTCCAACATCGTCAAGGTTGACACCATTGCCCGCGTCGCCAGTATCAGCAGCGACGCTTCCACCCTGATGCCCTGCTTCGCCAGCATGGACATTGCTGCAGCGTTTCCGAGTATTACACACGCATGTCTGTGGGCCACTCTACGTCGTTGGGGCATCCATGGAGTTTTTCTCAATCTATTGCAAAGCTGCTACAATATGCCACTCGCCTTTCTCGAGCTTGGTGAAACCCGCCGCCCGCTGCTTCTCGCAGAATCGGGAGTTGCTCAAGGATGCCCCTTGAGCGGCAAGCTCTGGGCGCTCGTCTTCGACCCCATCATCCAGGGCCTCAAGATGGAGCTCACCGCCCTAGGCAGAGGTCTGCTCAGCGCCTGCGCCGACGACTTAGGTATCGTACTTGCTGCGCTTAAAGACCTTTGCGCTCTCCTCCCACACCTGCAAGCAGCTCGCCAACACGCTGGTCTCCGTCTCCAGCCGAAGAAGTGCGTCCTCGTGCCCACCTGGTCACTGCCGACGCCCGAGATCACTGCGAACATGCGTGCTACTCTGACCCAGGTCTACGAGCCGTGGCAAGCTTTTTCTATCAACAGCTTTGCGCGATACCTAGGCGTGCACATTGGCCCAGGTGCATCTCTTGACCGACAATGACAAGTATCTGCCAACAAGTGGTGGGAGCGCATTCAGATCCTGAGTGACCCCGGCGCTCCCATCCAGCAATGCATAAAGATGTACAGTTCCGCTGCCACCACCTGTCTCTCGTACGTGGGCCAGCTCTTCCCACCATCCCCAGCATTTCTATCCAAGGAGATCCACGGCCTCCACAAGCTCATCCGTGCTGCCCCTTCGAGCTTCACGAAGATGGACATTATGTCGTTCGCGCTGTGGGCGTCTGCCACGATCCCGCAGGGCATCGACGCGCTTCTTGCTGCAATTATGTGGCGTGCCTCCACTACGACCATTCCTGGTTGGCAGCCTCTACTTCACGAATTCCGTGCACATGCTGAAGACCTCCTCCCACTACGCGAGGTAGTAGCTGGCAACTGGTCTGCCCCCTGCTGGATCGACGCCACATCCATAGTGCAGCGCTTCGACGCCATTTACCACAACAAGCTGATCGTGACAGGCAACGGCGCCGTCTTCAAGACTCTCACGCGATCCACTGGCTCTACGGTGGCTGCTGCCCGTGCGCTTCAACGAGCCCACGCGCAAGCTGCAGCAGCTGGAGGGCATGCTCTCCAGGCCTCCCGTCGTGACAAGGCGGAGGACCTTCGCTCGCCCAGTCGTGACAGGACTGGTGATTATCAGGCACCAAGTCGTGACGGGACTGGTGGCCATCACACACCCAGTCGCGACAGGACTGGAGGACTTCATCAGAGACAAGCTGGGCACATCTCTTCGAGTGCTACCACCAGGAGCGTCTCATCGCGAATTTCCCCACAACAAGCCTTTCTACGTGAACTACAACGTCAGCTGTGCCGCGACTCTTTCCACAAAACCATTCATCTTCGTCTGCGAGCCTGGTTCCCACTACTTCCTATCGGTTGTGGCTCTCCGGTGGCGCCTCCTACATCCGAGCAACCGACTGAGAACGCAACTCAC